GTAAGAGGTGGGTGGTGGGGGGGTGGTAAAGGGTAGAGAGGGTCAAATACATGCTGACAGAAGATGATTTTGGTTTGGGTGGTGGGCACCCAGTGCATTATACAGATCATGTGTCATAGACATGTACACTTGAAACGTATAGGATCTTATTAACCAGTGTCACCCCAATAAATTTAATGGTAATAAAAAAGGAAGGTGAAGGTAAGAACCGACGGAAGTTTCTGGCAACGTGGGTGAGGCATCGTAGTGGAATGGAGCCGACAGCTCCATATGAGGGAATTCAAGGGGATGGGAGGTGAGGAGGTAGAGGTGGTGAATGGAGGCAACGGCTCAAGAAGGTCTGAAAATTAAGAGGGAATAGACGTGATGCGCAGGAGCACTGCAGGGCCAGGGGATTTTGTTTTGTGTGTCTGCGCTTGTGGGTTTTTTTATTTATTTATAATTTTATTGATTTCAGAGAGGAAGGGAAAGGGAGAGAGATAGAAACATCAATGATGAGAGTCATTGATCGACTGCCTCCTGCACGCCCCCTGCTGGAGATCAAGCCCGCAACCCGGGCATGTGCCCTGACCGGGAATTGAACCCCGATCTCCTGGATCCTAGGTCGATGCTCAACCACTGAGCCACGCCTGGCCGGGCTGTGTTTGTGTTTTTTTGGTTTTTTTTTTAATGGGAACTAATATAACATACGCATATGCTAGTGGACAAAACCTGATACAGCAAGAGAAAAAAGGGACCATTGCCGGAGGAAGGCCCTTCGGGAGCAGACCAGAGCGCCTAGACCCCAGTGCCTGGGGGGCTGGCCCGAGGAGCAGAGCCAGTTCATCTCTCTAGGGGGAAGCAGTTCTCAGGTACTGATGCAGGTGAGTTCCTCTTCACCACTTCCTAAAGGGACAAACTTGGGCAATTTATTTGGTCTCTCTGAGCCTCAGTTTCCCTTCTTTCAAACAGTAATGACGGTTGCCTTGCTAATTTAAAAAAAGTTCTTATAATGATTTGCATTTCCTTCTTCCAAAAGCCAGATTTCTATCAACCACTGGAGGATTTAACAATATATCATTTTAAAAAGAAAAACGCTGGGTCAAGGTCACCAAAAAGTAAAAAGTAGGTATAAAACTTCCTGTGTCAGAGTGTTATATTATGATTTGACTGGTGAAATGTGAATTTTCAGTGTCTCCCAGGAAGAACAAGCAGCATAAAGTCTGTCTCCCACGTGTTAACAGTAACATTAATACGGGCTATTTGCTTCGGCATCTGTTCCTGACTTTGAGAAGGCAACCTCATATCCAAATGGACATTTAAACTTTTGAGGCCTGGAGAGGTCAAGGATAATAGCTTATAGGGTCAGTTGAGAATTCCTTAATGACAGGAACTGTATATTGTTTACCACTGGATTTCTGGTACCTGACATAATTAGGTGTAGATGCTTTGTAAATATTTGTTGGATCAATTAACTAACGAACGAACGAATGAACGAACGAACGAACGAACGAACGAATGAATGAAATGGTTGTGATGAGTGGTAAACTGCCTGGGAGTGCCAAGANTTACCACTGGATTTCTGGTACCTGACATAATTAGGTGTAGATGCTTTGTAAATATTTGTTGGATCAATTAACTAACGAACGAACGAATGAATGAAATGGTTGTGATGAGTGGTAAACTGCCCGGGAGTGCCAAGGCAGAAGGTTCCTGGACTCGCACGCAATGAGGAGACCTCCAGGATACGCTGCTCCCGTTGTGTATCTTGTGTGGGGGAGCGAAGGAGAATGTGGAGGGTGCTCTCTGCCCCTACAGCTCACACTCACAGGGCAGGTGCAGTGGATGCAACGTGTAGGTGGAGAAATGTTGGGGGCTGTCATGCACAAGCAAGTTTTTTTTATGGAATTTATTGGGGTTATATTAGTCAATGAAATTGTATAGATTTCAGGTGTACAGTTCTGCCCTCTACACACCCCCTTACCTCTGGCAATCGCCATAGTGTTGTCTGTGTCTAAGAGGTGTTTTTCTTTGCTTAATCCCTTCACCTATTTCGCCCGGCCCTCCAGCCCCGCTCTGCTCTGACAGCTGTCAGTCTGTTCTCTGTGTCTATGAATCTGGTTTTATTTCGTTTGTTTATTTTGTTCATTAGGTTCCACATATAAGTGAAATTATATGGTATTTGTTTTTCTCTGACTGGCTTATTTCACTTGAACAGAAACAAAGATTTAAGCGTTGGCTTAAAGGCTTCCAACCCCACAAGGGCACCAGAGGGAGAGTCTCCCCTCAGAAAACAGGGTGAGGGATGGCCAGGACAGGCAGAAAAGCCCACAATTAAGGTCCTTAACTCTGCAGACCTGGAACATCAAGAGGGAGGAACTCACTTTTATGAACTACTTAGTTAGGGACTCTTAGCACACTATTGCCCTTAACTTTTTCATTTAATTTTATTTTTCAGTTACAGTTTATGTTCCAGATTATTATATAGTAGTTTCAGGTGTACAGCATATACTTTACTATATGTGGAAACCAACTTACACCTAACTCATTTAGGACCCATACCAGAAAGCCAACGTAATAATTGTGATAAGAAGCACATTTTTCGGGAGGAAACCCCCCAAAGCGTGAGGTGAAAGCGTCTGGAAGCACTGAAGCCCCATGTAAGTGTGAATTAGCCTTGCCACTAGGGATAAGGAATCCTTGTTCGCCCCTCACGTTCCTGACAGTCCAGCCAGAGCCAGAAGCAGACTGGCTGCATTTTTCTCCCCCACTTTCCTTGTCTGTTGCTCCAAGTGGCACTTCCAGTTTTGCTGATGCCATTTCCAAGGTCAGAGACAATCAAAAACTTACCCAAGGTGTCTGGTTGTTGAGACATTTCAAACAGTATCCATTTCCTTCCACGAATGGTAGTAATATCTGATAACCTTCGAGTTAAACAGGTAAGTGTCCCCTGCTCCCATGCCTTCTCCCCAAATACTGCAGTTCTCCATCCCCAAACTGCTCCTGGTGGTAGAGATGGTTCTCTCTCCAAACTCCACCTTTCTGGGTTTGTTTTTGCTCAGAGCAAGGAACACCCGGGGGCAACCAGGGGGACTCTTGTGCGAGTAACTTTTGAGCCAGCACTCAGGAGCTTTGTCTTGGTTAAAAAGAATGAACCCTTCCCTCCTAGAAGGATTAAACAGAGGACTGGCGACTGATGGTTGTGCCCTTACTATATACCAGGCACTATGCATGCATTTTTTTAAGTTCTTTAAAAATATTTCAAGATAATTTTAGACTTATAAAACATGCAGAAACTGTACAGAGATCCCATATACCCTTCACCAAGCTTCCCTTTGTGTGCACGCATTGTTAAACTTAATCCTCACAAAATCCTGTAGGGAAGGTACTTACTATTGCCCCATTTTACAGATCAGTACTTTTCCTCATTGCACAGTACTGCCTCTGGATTTGCTACAGCCAGGTCCCAGGGTGGTCATTTATAAAACATTTCCCTCTCATTCTTAGCTGTTTGCTGTTGAACAAGACCTCTTCCCACTGCAACAGACACTTCTGCCCGGGACAAGGAGCATCTTCTTCCCCAGTTTTTCCTTCCCTCACAGAAGTAACAAGTAAGTTGAGGCCACTTGGCAACCTGAGAGGATCCCCTGCAATGGGGCTGGTAAAATGCAGGGTTTCCTCCCAGTGAAAGGTTCAGGGTTGTTCTTAAGTTAGAGACTGGCATCCTGGCTTCTATATTAGGACCACAGGGAAGGGGGTTACAATGAGGAGAATCTGATAGGAGCCAGTGGTAAAAGCAGGCAAAGGAATTATTCCCTGTGCATCTCACAGTATTTACCAAACCCAGCTGGCTCTGCCTTAGTGCAGAACGGAATAATTTTTAGTGAAATCATCCACAGTCAATAAATGTAGACACCTTCCATTACGCACCAACAACGTTTGAAACTCTTAGTTATGTGCGTTACATTTATTATCTTCTCCCTCAGAAGAATTCTAATGGTTAACTGTTGTTATTTCCATTTTGCTACCAAAAACACTGAGACTCAGACATAAAAATAACTTGTCAGTATCACACAGCTGCGGTTAGAGAGCTCACGTTCGCCCTAGCACAACATTACGCTTAATAGTTTGCTTATTTTTTTAAAACAAGGATTATTGCCATTTTGAACTTACCTTTATTTCTTGAATGAGTGTTTCGTCTTCTGGCACGTTGGGGTCAATTGCAATGACAATACCCTCATAGCCATTACCATTCAGCTGAATGAGTGAATTGCTCAGGGCCCCTTCCAGAAGGTGAAAGACCAAGATGAAAACAGAGCTCTTAAACGACCCCATTATTACGCATCTCCTTTTGATTAGTCTCGTTGGAAAATGTTGGTTTTAGAGGCATCTTTCTTTACCCCTATTTATATTGACTATAGAGGCACGTTTTCCCAAGTTATCAGGGGTGGTTTATCTCAGGACCTTAACCCCTTGGCCCAAAATTGTTTCATGTTTGCATTTGTCTGCAGTATGAGGAACAATACCTTAGTCTTAAATTCTGTGTACTTTAAATATTATTATATTTGAAAGGATCATTAGCCTTTCCTTCGCCTTTGCCAGATGCTGGGAAAGAGGGTGGGAAGCCCACATCCGGTTCCCTGGAAGGATTCGCAGGTGTCAAGCAGCTTGGCCTTTGAGACATGTTTGCTTCTTAGACATGTTTGCCCAGCCAGGGATACTGGCCCCCACAAGCTCACCCTCCACCGGCTGCCTGCCCAGCGGAGGCCTGGCCGCTCCATGTAGTCAATCAGTATTAGTTAAGCGTTAGTCATACGCCCAGCTATTCCTCAAGGGGGTCATTATTTTTATCCCCTTTGATCTTGACATAACCTCAGCACTTCTTGGTGCTTCCTTGGATAATCCAGTCCCACAAAAGGCATTAGCAAGCAACATAGATATTATTGAATATTTTCTATTGGAGGGAACTGATACAAATTTATATCTCACTGTGCAAAGCAAACTCACGTTTCCTCATCTCAACTTCTGTTGATCAATAAAATTACATTATTTAAATGAAATTCAAATGAACAACATGACATTATTTTACTGAAATTAGGTGTCTCTGAGAACCTGAACTGTGGGCTGCCAGCTACTGCACAGATTCTTTTCAGTTTGCCCAGCTTCAGATGAAAACTGAAATGGGTTTTCAAATTACTTTCCTGCAGTATTCAAATTACTTGGAATGTCTCTTCACCCTGTGACTTCATTTGATCTTCATGTGGTGCTAAGCATCAATTTCAACTTGTCTGGCCCTTCTTTGACATTGGCTCATGGAAATTAAATTAGTATGGCTGCTAATAATTAATACTTGTTGCTTAAGTATGTAATATTTGAGCAAACAAAAATGAAGCATTTAATCGAATGGATGTACTCAATTTTAAAGTGGTTGTCCACATGATCTGCTTTTATATAAAATAATTTATTCAATGCTTATTGAATAAATGCACGCATTTATTGTATATGACATAGCATTTTTAAATTCTAAATATCTCAAACCCCCAACCATACGTATCTTTTTCTGGGTCTCCTAGAAAACACAGACGAGCTTATGTGCTAATGATTTGAGAATTTCATCCCAGAGCAGTGAGGATGAGGGAAGGGGGAAATGAGTCAGGGTAGGCAGGGAAGCAACAAAAGATGAAGTGTTGCTAAGCTGGCTACTATGGTTCAGTGAAGAGACCCAGCGGATCAACCTGCTGTTGCTCCTGCCCTGCCCTCTGGAATGTCTCCTTACAGGCTGTACAAAGACACCATGCCTTGGGACAGTCCATTGGAGGGAGGAAGGGGAAGTGTGTGGCTCCTTCTCGTCTATAGATGACCAACTCCCCTGAACTTCCTGGCTGTGTATCCAGCCTTCCAACAGCTCTTGTAAAGACAGATCCCATGCCCCGTGTTGTATGAGGAGCCAAGGATTCCAAGTGGTGCCTGGTTGATCTCTGGCAGTGGAACCACTCAGGCGTTCAAGGAGTGGGTAGTGACTCAGGTGGAGCAAGTGACCGAGGGTCCAGTAGATTAGAGGAAGCCAAGCCCAGGGAAGTTCAATGAGATGAGTCCAATACAACTCATTGCTGTACTGCTCATATCCACTCATGCCCTTCCATCACATCGAGCTCCAGTATTACAGTGCAGAGTTTGAATTTATTTACTTATTTATTTATTTGTGAGCATAAGCTGCCTCACTTTTTTCCTGAGAGAAAGTACACGTCCAATCATTCATAGAATCTCTTTCCAAGTGGTGGCCAACTGCAATCTCCCGAGATACCTAAAGCAAAAATCATTGAAATAAACTGTAGTACCTGCTGCTACAGCCTGTCTCAAGGCCTTTACAGATATTTATTACCTCCTTCCTCATCACCAATCTCCCTGTTTTAGCCAGCATTTTGGCTGATCTGTGTTGTTTGTTTGCCTGTTGCTGTAACCCAACCTTTCATTTCCGAGGGCTCCGCACCCTTGTAGGGTTGTAGGCACTGCAGTTGTCTATGACAGAGGACACCTGGTGTGATGGACCCAGTTTAGGTGCCTCCTCAGCTTTGCTTGGCCTTACGTGCCGGCTGGGCCTTTGCTGCTTCCTCCGTGGAGAGCCCTCGCTGCTGCACTGTTGCCTCATTTTGTAACACACGAGGTTGTCCCTGTCTCCCCAGGGAGAGGGCCGAGTTTAGCGTGGCCTCCAGTGGGCAGGCTATAGTGGCAGCACCACCGTCTCTGGTGCCCAAGCCCGGCCTGGGCAGATTCACGGAGCCTTTGGCTCACATAAAGCGTTGCACCATGGCACCCGGGGGCTGGCTTTGTCAGAGGCAGCTCAGACGGGCCAGGTGACACACACTTGAAGAACAGGGAGTTAAAGCCTGAGAGACAGACGTTCACCAAAGATGTAGAATATTTCCAACATCCCAGTAGAATATTTCCAACATCCCAGTAGAATATTTCCAACATCCCAGTAGAATATTTCCAACATCCCTTCTAGTGAAAACTCCCAAGCATAATCACTATTCTGACCTCCATTGCCACACAGATTAATTTTATTTGTTTTTGTACTTTATATAAACAGAAATATACAGTCTGTCCTCTTGTGTCTGGCTACTTTCACATAACATTTTCTGCATGAAGTTCAGCCATATTATTTTAGGCAGAAGTAATATGTTATTTTTCCATTGTATTTCATTGTAAAAACATACCACAATTTACTCAAAAACTCCTGTTTATGAACATGGGTATTATTTCCTGTTCAGGCTATTATAAATAAAACTGCCCTAGGTGCAACCACTGATTTCAGCTGGGGATGTACTGAGAGCAGAATTGCTGGGTCATAGGCTGTACACAGGCCTAGCTTTAGTGGATCTGCCAAACACTTTTCAAAGTGGTTGTACCAGTTGCTCCACATTTCTACCAGTACATGGTACTGCCAGTCTTTATCATTTTAGCTAGTCTGGTGGGAGTGTAATTATATTGTACTGTGGTTTTAATTTGCATTTTCTTTTATGACTAATGTTAAACACCTTTTCATATACTTATTTTCATTTTGATATCCTCTGTTGCAAAGTGCCTGATCAAGTCTTTTTGCTCAATTGTTAATCAGGTTGTCTTTATCTTATTGATTTATAGTAGTTCTTTATACATTCTGAGTATTGAGTCCTTTATTGGATATATGTATTGCAAATATATCTTTTAAGTTTGTGACGTGCCTTAATGATGTTCTTAATTTTAATGGAGTCCAATTTAATCTTTTCTTTTATGGATAATGTTTTTTGTGTTCATATTTAAGACAGCTTTCCCAAATTCATAAAGATATTATACAATATTCTGTACTAGAAACTTTATTGTTTTACCTTTCACTTTCAGGTCTGTGACCTACGTCAAATTATTTTGTGTGCATTGTGTAAGATTCAAGAGTTTTGTTTTGTTTTCCTTTATGGACAGCAATAAGCCCAGATCACATATTGAAAGGACAACACTTTCCCCCACTGAACTGCAGTTGTGCTTTTGTTGTGAAAGATGTGACTACAGATGTTCAAGTCTTTTTCTGGACTCCCTGTTCTGTTCTATTGGTCTATATGACTATCCTTACCTCAGTATCATTTTGTCTTAATTACTACTGTTTTGTAAGTCTTGATATCTGGTAATGTAAACGCTCCAGATTTGTTTTTAAGATTATTTTGGCTATTTTAGATCCTTTTCATTTCCATATAAAATTTAGAATCAGCTTGTAAATTCTACCAAAAAATATATATATATCTGCCTGGTTAGGTAGGTAGGATTGCATTTAATCAGTTTGGGGACAATTGACATCTCTGTAATTTTGAGTCTTTTAATCCATGAACATACATATCTCTTCATTTTAAGTTTTTTTTTTATATAGTTTTCAGGGTAGAGGTCTTGTGCATCTTTTATTAGATTTATTTCTAGGGGTGTTTTTAGTGCTACTGTAAATGGTATTTTTTAAATAAAATTTCATTTTCTAATTGTTTATAGTTGGTATATAAAAATATAATAGACTTTTATGTATTAACCTTATAGTCAGTGAGCTTGCTAAATTCACTTATTATTTCTAGTACTTACTTTGTAGATTCTCTTGGATTTTATGTTTATAATTATATAATTTGTGAATAATAACTTGGTTACTTCTTCCTTTCCAGTCTCATATCTTTTATTTTGTTTCCTTCTCTTATTACACTAGCTATGAACTCCTGTAAATATTACAGATGGAGAAAATATCTTTTTTTGGTTTTCAGTCCTAGATGGAAAAGCATTCTACATTTAACCATTAAATATGCTACTCTTTAGAGATATTTTGTAGATACTTTTATGAGATTAAGTAAGTCTTCATCTATTCTTAGTTTGCTAAGAAGTTTCATTTTTTAAAATCATGAATAGGTGTTGAATTTTATCAAATACTCTTTATGCATCTATTGAGATGATAGTGTGATTTTTCCTCTTATTCTGGTAATGTAGTGACTTATATTACTAAGTCAACCTTTCATTCTTAGAATAAATCCCACTTCATCATGATGCCATATCTTTTTCAATCTGCTAATATTTTGTTTAGGTTTTTTGCACCTATGTTCATGAGAGAGATTGGGCTTACTTTTCCTTTCTTATAATGGCTTTTCCAGGTATTAGTATTAAGGCTATCTGGCCTCATAAAATGAGTTTGGTGCCCCGGAACACTTACTCTTGTATTGTCAACCCAGTGAAACAGCTGTGCTCTGTTTGAGCTTATCCAGAAGCCCTAAGCAAACTCCCAATGCCTTTTGGGGGAAAAGCTGATTAAATGTGGATCTCACCAAGATTGCTTG